ATACATCAAGCCCTACTAGCCATGCAGAATGGTGATTCCCCATGGTATGGTTGAGCATGCTTCAACAGGCTTAGTTAAGAGCATGGACATCATGGCTCCTGCACCTCAGGCCTTTATGGGCATTGCACTGAGTTCGAGCATGATGCGCCCGACTAGCCCTTGCACCTCGCAGGACTTGTCCATTGCATGCGAGAAGGTAGTCGCTTGTATAACTGCCTTGTCGAGACATTGCTCTTTACAACCGCCGTGGTTGTAGCCCATGACGGGTAAGATAGACCCAGACAATTATCGGTCTAAGACAGGGACTACGTCAAGCTACGCAGCCTCCCTATGACGGATCGTGTGGCCTTGAGTCTCCTAAACCTAAGACAGGCCCATACCAGCTTATTTTTCCATTGTATAAGAAAGGGGGAGATGTTGCAGCCGCATCTGTATGTACTGGCCACATGCCATACCCAAAATGGCGCCGGCTGGAGAAGCCACACCTTGGTGCATGGTGGAGAGTCACGAGCGGAGGCGGGGCACAGTCAGCACATAAGAGCAGACAGCCTGCCGGGGTCGGAGCCCTTTCCTCTTCCTCATCTTGGTGCGCGCAATAAAGATTACCGCAGAAGACTTCACTCGCGTCTGCCTCTTATCACTGGACGATAGGACACGTGGGCGCGACATCACCCGTCCTTGCCCGCGCCTCAGCTCTGCCCCTCAGCTTGCTCCCACCCCACCGCTGCTGGCCTAGACAGCTGCTCCCACTCGTGACCCTCTCTCTGCCTTATCCCATCACCATGCCAGCGGTCATGAGTGAAGACTGCTGCTCTCATGACCTATCTTAGTTTCCTGGCAACCTCTACCCTTGACCACTCATTGCTCTGGCAACCTGAACGCTTCATGCAGGATGTGCCCAAGATCTACTGCTGTTCCTGTCTCTGGGTTGGCCTTGTTATCCCATTCTCCCACAGTCCCTGCCCAGCTCCCCACAGTTTGATCCCAAACTCCCTACCTCTCCCCAACTCCTTCATTTGTGACCCATTACAATGACCACCCCTTTCTTAGTAACTTAGTAGTCTTACCCCAAGTCTTGGAAAACATCTACCTCCCAGCCCTGTACATACTTTATCTGAGCATCACTGTGCTCCATTAGAGCCGGACCCTGTGGGACTGGGCGAGGATCCCTGTGGACGCAGGAGGGGCGAGGACATGGCAGTAGGCACTGCGCGGAGTGCCCCTTGAAGTTCCTGCCCCTCGCTCCAAGTGTCTCCCTGATGGCGCCCACCTGTGCCTGCCCCAGACGTCCTACTGGGAAGTGCCCAGCCCATGGGCGGCGCAGGACCAGGGTCAGGGCCAGGTGCTGGGGCCTCAGCACGCAGCCAGACGGGTGGTAGTGCTGCGCTTGTGTCTAGGGTTCATGCGTTTAGTGGTTTGCCCCTTTTTTGTTGGACAGCATGTTGCAGTTTTCTTGTTTTGCTTTTTTTAACTCATTATAATTTTGGTTTCCCAGGGGTTGAGATGGAAGAAGAGCTTTTATAAATTTCGTGGCTGCCCACTTTCCTGCCTTCACTTTGCATAGATAAACCGGTTTGGGTTCTTGTATTATTAAAGGTTGTGGGTCCCTTGGCCCAAGGAGAAAACCCTCTCCAGGAAGTCGTTGTAGGAGTTTTACCAGCCATTGTGTGTGCTCCCAGATTTATTCTTTTTTTAATTGCCAGGTTTGGTTTAGATTTATATTTAAGGTAACTGGCAATGCACTTGATAAGGTCGTGCACCTATCTGGGTGATGGAGCTGGATTCCTTTATGCTGGTGAGTGGTGTGTTGCAGGGGGGGAGGAGTGGTCGTGTGTGTGTGTGGTGTGTGTACCGCACACTGTGCCCACTTCCCCTTCTGGTTTAGCTGTGGGAAGGTCTGAGTGTGGGGCCATTGGAAAGCAAAAACCAACCACTGGCTTTACTTCTGAGACGGGAATCAGTATACTACCTTTCTGTCCCTCAAGATATGCAAAAACAATGCGATAATATTCATTTTAAAAGTAAAATCGTGAGTTGTGTTGGCATTAAAACTGTATCTAAAAAAAAATTCCACAGAGAAATTGAAGGGAAAAACTCAGGAAGATTTTTACTTCAATATATTCCGTGCAATATTTTATTGCATTGACAATGTTTCTGTTGAAGAAACGGTTATACTTGTTTTAGTTTTCAGTATTTCTCATATTTTTTTTTTAAAGATTTATTTTTATTATTTTTTTATTGGAAAGGCGGACATACAGAGAGGAGAGACTGAGAGGAAGATCCTCCGTCCGATGATTCACTCCCCAAGTGAGCGCAGCGGGCCGATACTATGCCGATCCGAAGCCAGTGCCTCTTCCGGGTTCTCCCACGTGGGTGCAGGCTCCCAAAGCTTTGGGCCGTCCTCGACTGCTTTCCCCAGGCCACAGGCAGGGAGCTGGAAGAGAAGTGGGGCTGCCGGGATCAGAACCAGTGCCCATATGGGATCCCAGGTGTGCAAGGCGAGGACCTGAACCACTGTGCCACTCCGGCGGGCCTCTCAAAATATTTGAATAAGGCCCTGAGCACTTCTGGGCCCTAAGTGTTTGCCTCAGCTGCCCCTAACTCTTGCAGCTTGAGTTCCTGGTATGCTCACCCAATCTGATTAAAAGTGAGGCCTCCGGGTATCCTCTGCCTTCAGTGCCAGCCAAGCACCCTGGGCCACAGTAACCCCACACCTGTGTTTGCCTTCAGTGAGAGAAGGCTCTGGGGGAGGCCTTATCTCAGTGACCTGTGCCCCACCTCGACTTGGACAGGAAGGAGCTAGGATTGCTCTGTTGCTTCTGGGGCTGACCAGGGCACAGAGCAGAGGAGCACAGTGAGCTGAGCTTTGAGGTGGGATGCAGCTGCGGAAAGCAGTAAAGCCTCCCCAGGCACAGGAGGGGGCTGGTCCCCAGTTGCATTGCTCTCCAGGGCGCTGCCTGTTGAAGCTTACTGCTTTTGTGCGACTTTGAGGTATGTTCAGGTGCCCTCTGAGAAAGTTCTGACTTCATGTGGGTCTGCCTATAGGGTGGAAGTACCAGTGTGAAGCTTGTGGGCCCTGCACTTCATTGGTTTTTGTTATTGATAAACTGACTTTGTGTGTCCAATTCAGGCTCGGACTGTTTGGATTGTTTGAGTCTGGTCACTTACAGAGGCTTCCTCGGTCTGAAAAGCAGACAGCGGCTGCAGGGACCAGCACCCAACTAGAAGTGTACCAACAGGCCTGTGGACTGTGGAGTGTGACGTAGAATCAGTGTGTGACGTCACCACCTCTCTGGTTGCTCTTGGCTTCAAAACCACTGGTAGGTGTTTTCATTTTGCTACAACACTCCTGATGCTTTGCCGGCAACTAAGAGCGATGGCTGCTATACTTCCTTGCTGGTAGACAGGTGTAATAACAGGTACACGTGGTGCTGGGCCCAGAGGACTGTTGGCTCTCACCATCTTGTCCTCCCTTTGCCTCAGCCTCCTGAGCTGTTGTGTCTCTTGCGCTTCTTGCACACACTCTGCCTCCTGCTGTCCTGTGGGGTCAAGTTGTTGTGATGCCTCTTTTGTTTGCTTGTTTCTAAGATTTATTTTTATTGGAAAGTCTGACCCACAGAGAGAAACAGAAAGATCTTCCATCCAACAGTTCATTCTCCAAGTGGCCACAATGGCCAGAGCTGAGCTGATTTTCTTTTTAAAATCCTGATCTTGCCATTAAGTATTAGTATTATTAGTAATTATTCTTATTTTTTTTTATTTTAGGTGATGTTTACATAGTCAGGGTGGGAAGGATCTAGAGTTAGGGAGAAGTGGGTGTGATCATTGTTTCCAAGCTTTTTATTTCTTCTTCCCATTTCTGGGGAGAGGGGAGAGATAAGGGGATAGGCCATACTCAGCCTCCCTACCACCCCAGCACCCAAGGATGGGGAACGGCCACCTGATAACCCAAGGTCACAATGTGGTACACGCTCTGAAGGCTCTGCCCAGGTGGATGCAATAGTTCAGAAATGCTGCCAATCTTGCCGATCTATGGATGAGAAAACCCTTCCAATGGCTGACATAATCAACCTTATAGTCTCTATTCTCCCAGATATTTGCTGTCATCATTTGGCTGGGGTAATTGTCCATATGTTCTGTTCTCCATTCTCTGCTGTGGTACCAGATGTCCTTTGCAGGCCCTAATGAGCTACCAAGTCCTCCATGTGTACCATGGTCTGCCATCCAACACTGCATCCTCTGTACTGAGGAGGACCAGTTCTCCTAGATGGGCTCATGAACTTGAGTCAGATGACTTGGGTCAAGCCAGAACCCCCAACCCCTGGGGCTCATTGATCCAGCGTCCATCACCAAGCGGGCCCAAGGCCACAAGCCATGCAACCCAAGCCCCTTCCCCATCCCAAGCCTCTGCTCCTCTGGAGTTGGGGCAGAGCCCTGAGCCGGCTCAGTCTTCCAGCAAGGGCTGCATGGACTGACTGCTCAAGGGTATAGATTTTTTTTGGTTTGCTTCTTTCAAGATTTATTTATGTAAAAAGCTAAGTGATAGAGAGCTTCCATTCACTGGTTTACTCCCCTAGAGGCCACCATGGCTGGGGCTGGTCCAGATAGAAGCCAGGAACCTAGAACTCTCTCCAGATCTCCCAAATGGTGTCATGGACAAATGTTCTGGGCCATTATCCACTACTTTTCCAAGTACATTAACAGAATCTGGATTGGAAATGGAGCAGCTGGGACTTGAACCTGTTTTCCGAAAAGAATGCTGGCTTCACAAGCAGCGGCTTAATGCACTGTGCCACAACACTGACTCCAAAGGTATGAGTCTCTTGGGGTAAGCTTTATATAGCCCCTGCCTTTAACATCTAGTTAATGCCCTGAGCTAAAGGAAGGCTTGTACTTTATATGTAATATACTAATAACTCTGGTATGTAAAATAATTTTTAATATTTGTTCATTGAGAAGCAGAGCAACAGAGACAGATCTTGCATCCGCTGGTTCATTCTGCAAATGCCCTCAACAGCCAGGGCTGCTACAAACTGCAGCCAGGATTTGAGCTGGGCTGGCAAGGCTGCAGTAACTGCTGGCTAATGTTGAGAACAGAAGTGAGCCAAATCAGGCTGAACCAAACACCCACCAATGTGCATACGATCTGTGACTGAGTGTTGGTCTGACTGGGGAACTAGGGGAATTCCCCTATTAAGATGCAGTCCCAGCTGCTGGGCATGAGGACCATGGTTGGGAGCAGGCCAGGCCAGGCCAGAGTAGGATACAGTGCCTGTCAGTAGACAAGTGGGTCAGGTCTTGGGGTTGGCCACTAGGGAACCAATGGAATAAACCTAAACAGCGACTGCTTTTTCATACTCGGGACTCCTCTGAGGACACTCTTAAAAGATCACTTTTTCCTCTCTTGTGTTGCTGCCATTTCATAAGCTTGAGTCTGGGTTAATTTTTCTTCCTATTTGGTACCCGTATATTGGTGACTCCTAACTTAACTGCTGGCAATACATGATTGTACAAAGACGGTCAGTTTCCTGTTAAGAAAAGCATTCTCTTCCTTTCTGACAGTTGAAGAAGCATCTGTGGGGAATCCCAAAGGGACATTGCTGAGATGTTGCAGGCCTGGAAGTGGAACACCAGCACAGAGTTAATTATTGATCCAGAGATGGACACTTCAGAGAGATGCAACCTTGATATTCCAGACTCTACAAATGAGCAAGTAGACTTGAATGAGAAAAACGATGTTATCAGTGCACTAAGTTAACCACTGCTTTAATTCTCAGGGAGCAATCTAGAAGACTCAGTGTTGTTATCATTCATTAAGCTGCTCTTTTCAAGTCCACAAGGAGATAGATCCTTGGTTACTTAAAAAGCAATCCAAGGGATTTCTCTATAAAGCCTTACAAAAGGAAATGGAGAAAGATCCTCTTTCTGGAAAGTATGTTAAATATAAACATTCAAGAAAAATTGGATGAGCTTAAAAGAGAAATAGAAGCTCCCATGTTGATGCAGAGTCTGTTAGGTCTCAAAGCAAAACGACAAATCTTCCTAAAGAAACTAGACAGGGCCCAATCGCAGCACATCAGCTGGCGCCTACTCCAAGCACAAGACAAAGATTATAGAGTGAAAAACATCTTCAAGGGGCCAAAGGGCTTAAGGAAAAGGCAGCAGCAGGAGACAATCAGGAGGAGACAGAGTGCGCGCCCCCTTGTGGATGGCACCATGCAAGGCAGGCCGGGGAGCGCAGGAGCCAAGGAGCAGGAGGAGCTTCATGTGGCCCAGAGACCCTGGCACCTGGTGGCCAACTCCTTCTACCCAGAGCCCCCACTCACAGAGGAACAGGAAGCCAAGCCGCCTCTTCCTTGAAGAAGCACATCACGGATGGGTCACCTACTGCAGCCCTTGCAAAGTCCCTCCCTGAGCTCAAAAACAAATGGTTAAAAGACACCATGCTTACATTAGAAAACCCAAAGGTAGAGTCAAAAAGAGGCAACAGAACCAAGCTCATATTCCAGAGTGAATTCCTGCTTACGTAAAATTGATCCTCATCCTGTCTTCAGAACCGTCAAAGTCAAACTGAGATTAACATGCAGGAGAAAAATTCCCTGAGCACAAAAATGTCAGTAAGGGGCCTCAATTCCTTGTACTACAGAGTCTCATCGACTTACCTCCCTAAGCCTCTCCCTCTGCTGGAAAGTTTTCCTCCCAAGGTCTGAGGAAAGTGCTTCTTCAGAAGTGGTTGCTCTTCCAGAACCTGATAAATAAGATGTTTCTAAAACAGCAGTGCTGCAGGAAACAATTTAGGAACCTCTGGTAGACAGCAGGGCTCTGCAAGTGGAAATACTCATTGGCTAGGTGAGCGGGTGTAGATCAGTGTTGTTTGGCTTGTTTTTGCAAGCAACACTGCTTTATTCTGAGCCTGGGAGTTTGTGGTTTCAAAGCCAGGGATGGCTGCCTGGCTCCTCTGATGGAGTGGAAGGCTCTTCCACTCATAGAAAGTCCAGCTCTGAACCTGCTCTGAGACTTGAGCTTCTCCATGGGCAAAACCCAGGGGCTTTGAAGTGGTGTTCTGTGCATGAGGGTTATAACCACGGACATTGCAGCTATGGCTGCTCTCTTCCCTGGAGAGCTTGCATACACATCTGTGTCAGGATCGGGGGTATTACCACACTGCTCTGTGAGTACATACAGTATTGTTTATTGTCCAGAACAGTTTTCCACCTGTTTTATTACCCCTTCTCCCCAACAGGTGGGAAGAACGAACACTTTTAATGGGCTTTCACAGAGGAGAAACATGACAGGGGTGTGAAAGGGTGAGCCAGACACCTGGTCTTCCACCCACCGTTGACTCTCCACGCACTCATGTTCCTTCTTTGTCATGATGTCACCTCCTCCTCTCACTCTCACAGCAGGGTCTGGGAGAGAAGCCCAGCCACACAACAGCACACTTGACCTTCATGCACTTGGAAGCTTTAGGACTTGCGTAAGTCAAGCTGGAAATACTAGAGATGAATGCAAAGATAGTATCTGCAAAGGCAGTTTTTTTTGCTACCACCCCCAGAGAGCTCTCAAAACATTCTGTGTATGCATAACACCTGGCAATCTATGAATCACTCCACCTGCATCCCAGACCCCTGCCCAGATATAAAGAACCAGGGTGGATGTGGTGCAGCAGAGACCAATAAAGGCTGTGTAAATGAAGGTGTCATAAGGACAGGGCAGAGGGAAAGGTACTAAGGAACAGGTGCCAAGGGACTGCCAGAATGCTTTGGCTCTTTGTAAGGGTGCATTTTATGTTTCTCTTTGTGGCTTAACTAATTGGGTCCCAAAAGCAACCCCCTAAAGCCCCCAAATGATAAACCTATATTCCTTGTATGGCAACTCTTACAGTTGGCAGTGCAGGTAACTTTCTCTTAGGAGTAGGCTTAGGACCTCATCTAACTCCTGAGTTTTGGTCTTCCCACTCCCTTAAAATGTCATGTGAGCTGTCCAATGCACTCACAACCCCAGCAGAGCCTGGCATACTCTGGAATATGGGTTAGGTTTTTCTGCCTTTGAAGAAAGGATGCTGGCCCAAGCTCAAGGTCTTCTACTTATGAACCAATGTCAAGAAGCAAATTCTGCTCAAGAGCTTCCCCACAGCCAGATGAGCTGGATAGGGATGAGAATGTTTTTCTACAATCAATTGGAAAGTAAGCATCTCCAGTGATTTCCAGTATTTGTGCCACCTTTGGAGCCTCAGAGTTCAAGGTCAACCAAATTTGTTTCACCTCCCAACCTGGAGCAGGATTGCACAATATGAAAAACTTGCCCATCTGGCTGTCTGGACTCCAGAACAAGTCCTGAATATTCTAAATGACTGTATTGTCTATCCTGAATCGTCACCTGTGGAATTAGAGGAGCACAACCAGGTGAGCTCCTGGAGCCCTTTGATGGGGCAGAACCATCTGCACTGCAGCCAGAGGACATTCCTCAAAGCCCCGAGACTCTTGAGCAGGGCCAGCTCTCTTTGCTCCAGAAAGAAGGCCTAGCCCAGGTTCCACAGCCTCTCAAGGAGACTACACCTTCTCCAGTGCTGCAGGGGTCTCCAGATCTCTGCTGCTGAAGAAGCTGTCCGGCAGCTTGTTCAAAACGAGATCAGTGTTCCACGTCCACTGCTGCCTTCAACCTTGTCCAGCATCACAGGGAGACCTACAGATGTGACGCTTACAATCACGCTACAGCCAGGCAGTGAAGTGCAAAGTACTCTGGGCCAGCTGCAGGCCCCAGTTCAGCCTGCAGGGATCTTGGAAGAGGAATCCCCTCCCTCAATCCCACAAGAGGCTCCAGCTCAGACTCCAGGCCCTTCTGTAGATACAGAGGCTTTTATCAGGAAGCAAGAGGAGTCTGCTCGGTATGCTGAGCCTTCAGTGGAGGTGAAACCTTCTCTAGGCCAGCAGGTGGCCCCAATTCCTCCTGCTCCAGGCCCATCTGTGGGAACAGAATCTTTTCCAGGCCACCAGGTGACCCCAGCTCAGACTCTGCGTCCTTCTGTGGAGGTCACATCTCCTCCCACCCAGCTGGAGCAGCCAACTCAGGATGCTGAGCCTTCGTTGGAGGCAGAACCTTCTCCAGGCCAGCAGGAACAGAAAGCTGTTGAAGAGGTTGAGTCTATATCTTCGCCGGAGGTGGTACCTCAGGAAGAGGAACCCTCATCTGAGGAAATCAGACTGTCTCCAGCCCAGCAGGAAGCCCCAGCTCCGGTGTCGGAGACCGAAGAAGTGAAATCTCCACCTGCAGAGTCTCATGAGGCGACAGTTCCTCATGAAGGTCAGTCTCCAACATTGCCGAGTGTGTCTGTTAACCCTGCAGAGACCATGACCGAGGCTATAACTTCAAGCCAACAGGAAGTTGCAGCTCAGGCCTCGGGGAACACTGAGCTGGACCTGACACTCCTGAAAGGAGGTGACCACTCAACAGTTTCCACAAGTGTGGATAAGTCAGTAGATCCTAAGGTCACCTTCACTTCACCTTCAGAGGTTGAGCCTTACCCAGCCTTACCTTCTTTAGCTGAGCCAGAGGCCATGGATGAGACTGCAGCTTCCCCCAAGGAGATAGAGCCTATCCCTACAGGATGGGAATCTCCAGCTGAACCCCTGGAGACCCTTCACGTCACCCTTCCATCTCCACCACGGCTGAAAGTGTCCGCTCAACATCCGGAAATGACTGTGGGTTCCAAAAGCCAACCCCGAGTATACCACCAGACTCCACCTCCTACTCTGGAGGATTTCCTTATATCAAATACAGAGGAGCCCCTAACCCAACCTCGAGAGCCACCTCAAAAATTTTACCTCCATTAAAAGGGCATGAGGAGGCAACAGTCCTCAAACCAGCTCAGGAATAGGCTCCGTATCTAATATTACCCAGGGTCACCTTTCAGCCTTTGAAGTTGGAGCTGAACATAACTCCAGGACCCAGTGTGGAGGCTGAATATTCTTTTTTTTTTTTTTTTTTAAAGATTTATTTTTATTATTTTTTATTGGAAAGGCGGATATACAGAGAGGAGAGAGACAGAGAGGAAGATCTTCCGTCCGATGATTCACTCCCCAAGTGAGTGCAACGGCCGATGCTATGCCGATCCGAAGCCAGGAGCCTCTTCCGGGTCTCCCACGCGGGTGCAGGGTCCCAAAGCTTTGGGCTGTCCTCGACTGCCTTCCCGGGCCACAGGCAGGGAGCTGGAAGGGAAGCGGGGCTGCCGGGATTAGAACCGGCGCCCATATGGGATCCCGGGCATGCAAGGTGAGGACCTTAACCACTTGCGCCACCGCGCCGGGCCCAAGGCTGAATATTCTATAGCTCTGAAGACCACAACACCTCTGGACTCAGAGATTTTGTCCAGTCCAGGTCCAGACTTGCCACGCAATCCTGCCTAAAGTCTCAGTTGCACACTGGGACTTGGGAAATACCCCAGCTCCAGAACCCAATTCAGAGGTTGACCAGGCTCCAACCACTCAGGAGACCCCTGTGCAGCTTACAGAACCATCTACAGAGGTGGGAGCTCAACCTCCAGTGTTGCAAGAGGTGGCCGTTCCAACGCCAACTCCACCTCAACCTCCAGTGACACCCAGTGTCACAGATCAGACCTTGAACCTACCACCTACCAATGATCCAGACCCACTGCAGAGGCTGAGCATGCAATTGCCCTGAAAGAGCCTACAGGAACGAGTCCAGACAGAATTCTGACTCTGTTTCACTTATGTCCTCCTTGCCTGGTGGGTCAGGCGCTGTTCAATTTGCATGGGAAGAGGCACTGAAGCTCTTGGTCCTACATGAGGTGCCTAACACATCAGCCCCTTGACTCGGAACAGGGTCCCAGCCATTATGGCGATTTCCTCCCAACATGAAGCTTCTGCCCCTCCTCTTCTTGGCTGCATGAAGTCAAACCTTACCATGCTGAGTGGAGCTCAACTGTGAGCTGACATGCAGGTACAGTGGCTAAGCATTTAGCCACTTTTTTTTTTATTATTGAAGGGAGCAGCCCCTGGAGTCCAGGCAGGCCACAGGGCACGAGGCTTCAACATCCAAATATCCAGGCAACCTGAAAGACCTCAGAGGGGCCAGTGTGGCAGGTCCTCTGTGGTAAATGACTGGTTCTTAATAAGCCAGGGGAGAAGGCACTGGAATGCCCGGTGTTTGACATGTTCATGTCCTAGAACCTGACTGTTGGGGGCATGTGGTGGGACCCCTGTTCGTCCTGTGCCCATGGTGCCGCCACGGGAGGATTTTTCTACCTCGGAGGCTTCTAGATGCAGACCAGCCTTTCTTGCCTGTGGCCTTGTGATTTGTATAAAACTTAGACTTTCATTTCTTATCATCTTGGCTGGGATGGCTTATGAATACCACACACACGAATATTAGAAGGGAAGTGCTTTTATAAATGGAGGCAGCCCCAGCAAAAGGGCTTACTCGGTGAGCACCTCCTCAGGGGCTTCGCTTTCTCCTTCGGCAGTCGACTCAGCGGCCGCCATCTCGCCCGGGCCTTCGCTCATGCTGTGGGGAACAGAACAGGCCACTTTTCCTCTCTGCCCGCCCGTTTGCTCCCGTTAGGTAACGTGGGGAAGGCAGTCTGTCATTTACCTTGCCCCTCTCACGAAGATTGCTTCCTCGTCAGAGGTTTCATTGAATAATTTTTTACCAAATTCATTCTGGCTCATTGCCCGGCGGGGTTTGCGCTCACCCCTCAGCCAGCGCAGCCACCTCACCAAGAAGCCCACCTAGGAAAATGCAGGAGGTTTAGCACCCTTAGGAATGGGGAGGGGAATGCATGTTTTGCCCCTACTCCCACCATCCCTCCCTCCAGCGACACACTGTGTCCCCCAGTTTACCTGCTTCTTCTCCCGTCTTTCCTTGAGGGAATCTTCGTAAAGGTCCCTGGGGGAAAACAAATGCCCAAGCCAATCAGAGACTGGTGTCACTCTCCATGGCCCGCACATCTCTGGTGTGCCCGGGACAAAACGTGTCCCTGTCCCACATATACCACAAAGCAAAATCACCACAGACCTGGGATCTGGGCTTCTGGGAGCTCTCCGATCTGCCTGAAGGTGCCCCAGTGGCTAAGGGCCAACTTGAACCACTGCTTTGTGTGAGGTCGTCAGCCCCAACCACTGCCTTCCCCAAGCGCCCTTGTGCAGTGACAGACCGCACAACCACATGGGGCACGTGCACTGTCTCCCTCCTTTAGCATCTGGCACCAGCCCCACCTGGACTGAGTCTCACATGCCTCCTTCACCTGGGGGTGAGGGAGAAGGTGCCTCTATGTGCACAGTCCTTGACCCCTGTAAACTGAATCACATCAGGCAGGGCCTGAGTCTGACAGCAGTTACCTAGCTCATGCAGCCTCACACTGCAGGTGTCACTGATGGGAGAGTGATGAGTGAAATTAGTTAAAGGATGAGGCTCGCACTGACACCAAGATACCCCTTATGAATCCAGCAGAACAGGAGAGTGCATTGTTTTCAGCAACTGTGCCTGTGTGGTACATGGGTGCTGATTTCTGACAGAAAACGTAGCTCACAGCCCCAAACCCTTACAAGCCAGGGAGGAGCCCCAGCTGGGAAGAGACCCTCCTCTGATGTTAACAGTATGACCCTGGGGCCAAGATGCTGCCTCTTTCTCGTTTCCTTGTCATACAATGAAGAGACAGACTTCTCTTTAGTTTGAAGATCTCTTCCAGTTAAAGCTCTTAGAAGCTTGGTTAGAAGAGAGAAGACATGACCAGTGTGATGGCTCATTGGCTAAATCCTCGACTTGCATTTGCGGGGATTCCAGATGGGTACAAGTTTGTGTCCTGGCAGCTCCACTTCCCATCCAGCTCGCTGCCTGTGGCCTGGGAATGCAGTGGAGGATGGCCCAAGGTCTTGGGACCCTGTACCTTCACGGGAGACCCATAAGATCCTTCTCTGTTTCTCCTTCTCTTTGTAAATCTGTCTTTCTAATAAAAATAGAGTAAATCTTAAAGAAAAACAGATTAAAAAAAATAAAGACAAGCAGGATGAGAAGAACTTTTCCTGCCTTCTTTAAGGAGACCAGCTCCTCCCACAGTGCAACACAGACTCCCCTAGCCCTTGCTGGAAGCCTTCAGGAAGCCCTCTGGTATGGTCAAAGTACTGTCAGCTGCAGGGATGGCACAGCTGGAGTCCCTCCCCAGCCCCTGCATCCAAGAAGGACTGGGGACAGCAGAGGTGCCATGGTGGTGCTGTCTACCCAGCTGTGAAGTATGCTTCCTGTCTGTGGAGATCTCACTAAACAATGAGGTGACTGGAATCCATGTGTTCTCTTCTAGTTCTCGAGTTTCATTTCACACATTACTGGGCTGGTACTTACCTTAGACCTTTTCCTATGTCCTCCTCCTCGGCGTCGGCTCTTGCCCTGTGAGAGTAAATCTGTTTTGGAAGAAGACACAGCCATTATTATGCAACACAGTGACCACCATGTCCAGATCATTTGCATGCCTTTCTTTTTGTATGCATCTGGCGCCTAATACATTTTACTGGCTGTTTAGATAACTTTCAGCAGACAATTCTCCATGAAACCTCTTTGAAGAGGAAAAGATGAAGCATCTTTAATTGGATCAGAAAAGTAAACAGAGAAGTCAAGGAGACTTGGCCTTCTTAGTAGGATTGCTACTATTTACCACTGTTGAGGAGGCCCTAAAATAGGGACTAGTGCAATGGTGTTTAGGTTTAGTTCTACCTGTAGTGCAGTATCCCATTTGTGCAATGGCTCGAGTCCCAGCTGCTGTACTTCTGATTCAGCTGTCAGCCAACAGCCTGAGTAAAGCAGCAGAGGATGATCCAAGTGCTTGGGCTCCTGTGCCTGTGTGGGAGACCCACAGCAACTCCAGGCTCCTGACTTCAGACTAGTTCTGGCTGTTGCAGACATTTAGAGTGAACCAATGGGTGGAACAGCACTGTCTCTCCAATAAGAATAGGTAAATCTTGAGTATCAATTTTTCAAAAAGACAAATACAGTATTGTGTCACAAAGGAAGACAAAACAGATGTCATCTGAATGTGAAATGATGGACAACTCGGAAAACCCAAGAAAATCAACTACCATTTTTGTGGAAAGTAATATGCGAGTCCAGAAAGTTGGCCAGACACCAGGTCAAGAGATCAACATACATGCTGTGGTAGCTTTCCTGTGTGCTGCCAACAACTAATGGGAAAACGCAAGAAGGGTCCCGTTTGTAACCAACAGAAAGGATTAAAGCTTATCCTGGAATAAGCTCAACAAAAGATGTGTAAGATTGTGTAATGAAAACACTAAAGCCCTTTTGAAAGCCATGAGACTTGCATTCCTATAATGTTGTGATTATGTCAATTCTCCTCAAATTAATCAATCAAAATAATTCAATTCAGTTTTATACAAATCCGAAGATACATTTTTACAAAACTGACCGGCTGCCATTCAGTGGGGAATGATGGGCAAGAATAGTGCAAGAAACATGAGAGAGCAGGAGCTCGCTCTAACAAATATAAAACTCAGAACTAAGCCATAAAGTGACTGGAGTTTACCTGTGTGATACAGGTATGGGTGGAAGAAAAGACCACAGAGTCGATGGAAAGAGCAGAGTCCAGGTCAGGATATTTTAGATTGGTAAGGAATGAGTGAACTGTTCAAAGAAAAATTATTTTAGAAGATTTAGAAACTCATGTAGAGAAAGATAAGCTAGATTCCCTACTTCAATCATATTGAAAAATAACTCCAGAGGGATTACAAAATAGAAATTAGAACAAAATGTTACAAGAGTCCTAGAAGAAAATATGCTACTACTCTATCAGTTTCAAGAACCTAACAAAACTCAGATCCCATCAGCAAAATGTGAGACTGGCAGGTGCAGGGCTATGTGCTAGCAACTCCCTATCCATCCCAGAGTGTGCCCCCTTCTGTTGGGATGTTAGCTTTTATTTTGCTGTTGTTGGTTTAGAAACCCTTTTTTTTTTTAATACAATAAATATATTAATCTCTTTGGTGGCCTTTTTCTTGTTCAAGTGTTTCCAGTATTTCTCAGTGTGTTTGTAAGGAAGGGAAAGAGAACAAAGGGAATGAGGAATGCATTCTTTGCAGTCAGGAGATCTGAGTCTGACGTTGGCTTTGTCATTTGGGCCCATAGCTTGATTGCCATGACCTGTGAAAGGGGAACTGCTGCAAGGGCTAAGTTGAGAACACAGGGGAGACTCTGCCCCAAGCCTGACCTCCCCAAGTGCTGAGTCAGCTAGCAGTGTCACACACAGGCAGACAAATCTTTCAAAGGTTTCTCCTATGCCACTGGGCTTAGAAAGCTCTTTTCCATCCCAAGACTGAAAAATACTGCTTGAAATTTATTCTCAGTATCTTTTTGTCTTCTTTTTTTAAAGACATTAACTGAAATACATTTAGGATGAGAAGTATCCATCTATCACTGTCTGCCATTCAACCCAAGTTCTTAGGCAGCTAGGCAGCGTTTTCTCAAACTGATTAGGCTAGAGGCAACACTGCAGAAGTTTTAGGAACACACATGTCTATGTATTACTGAACTCTCAACTCTGTATGCTGCTTCAAATGAATATTATATTGCATTCTTCTTCACCGTAAACTTGACATTGTACCTAACTCTGATCCTCTGAACACTTACTATCTTTCTAATACAGGCAAAACTCTGCATACTCCCTGACCTCACAAACCTTCTCATCTAACTGGGGAGAGGAACTCAGGAAAACGTGAATGGATACAAAGAGAAGTAAGCCAGAACTAAACATACACATTAAAATAACGCAGGACTTGATCAAAATTTCAGCCATTTCCCCGAAGGCAAAGACCAGGGGCCACCTGGAGATATCCAGGATACTGTCTCCACCGACCCCTTGGCAGTTGACCCCATGTGGCTCCCAGCTCCAGGGTTCAGAAATCAGACTGTTTTCACAAACAGCAAACTCACTGGAAACAACCTCACCTGATCAGCACCACAGCCTGAGTGAAAAGACAGAACAGCTGTGACTGCATGACCAGGGAGCTGCCTCTGCAGGGGCAGGCCTCCATGGCACACTCAAGCACTATCAGAAGGCAACTTGGGAAGGACAAAGATGCAAAGGAATCAGCTGAACCCAGCGTTTAATGGAAAGGTCTGGAGTGGCCAGATTTGTCCCTCTCCTGCAGAGGCTCAGCCTCACCAGGGGGCTGCCTCCACATCTGCCTGGGGCTGTCCCTCTGCCCTAGTGCAATGTCAGGATGGCCACTAGCATGCTGGTGGGCTCTCATCTTTCTGTGCTCCTGTCACCATCCCCTGCTGTGGCTGGCATGTCTGCCTTTAGAAACAGTGATACACTAGGCGGGTGTTACCGGAGGCCAATAGACCTGGGAAGCTCTTTAGTCCTTATATACCTTTGCTGTACTCCCTCGCGTGTTGACCTTGGCACTTCCCTTTGTGAAAACTGCCACATTTTTAAAGTTCTCAGGGGAGAGGAAATACCTCTCTGTGGTTTCACAGAAACGATGATCCATCTCACAGAAGGTTTAGTCCCAAGAGAGTTGGAGGAGTCAAGGCATGCCATGAAGTGAGGGAATTTTAGGTAGAAAAGGCACAGGTGAAAGTAGGAATGGCCATGGTGTGGCTGGGGTATGGTAAGGGGCCACTCAGGCAGGAACACAGACAGGGCTGACATGACAGGAAGTGTCAGTGAAGTAAACTGGGTTGGACTGCTAGGGTAGAGTCAAGACCGTCAGATCTTTCAATGACTTCATATTCAAGCCCTTTCCTGTTGGGAAAAGTAATGCACTTTATGTAACTGAACAATAGGTGAACAGAGTCAGGCTCCAGGAATGGGATAGGATAAATACAGCACACCTCAGGGTTCAGCTTAGGAAGCAGGATTCAGTTACATTCAGGTACATAAACAACCTGTCTTTAGACCTGCCTTATGTATTAGAACAGGTAGAATCTTTAACATGTTTTCTGGCAGTGTCCTGAGGACAGTAACCATTCTGTGAGGTGAGGGTGCTGATACAGCGCTCATCATTTCAACAACGAGAAGAGAGACCAACAGGAGCAGAGAGGGAAGTGGTAAGCACATCAAACAGTTGACATAGCTGTGGGGAAATCTTGTTATCTATGAAGTCTGGTCTTCCACCTCTCACAATAGCCAGTGGCTTGGCTTGCTACCTAGTTTCCAGTTGCACTGAGATTTCCTGGGAGTAGGGTCTATTCAAAATCTCAAGCATATGCTTTTCAGGAGAGTATGTCTTTGTGACCATAGAAGAACGTCAACTGGCAGTATGTGGGCAAGTGGCTTTGATGTTCACTCTGCATTCAAACCTGTTGTAAAAAAAAAAAAAAAAAGGATGTTCTAGAAACCTAAGTGAATCGTTGTCCTTACCCCAACGAGACAGGCTCCCGTTATTAAGATCATCACAGCTACAGTGACAGATATTGCCATGATGAGTATTTTGTATCTTGGGACTTCTTTGAGCTAAAAGAAAAAGAGCAATGAAAAGAGATCAAATAAAGAGATAGCATGAACACTTAACTATTCCAGCCCGTATTCTTCCAGGTGAGTGGCTTATAGGATCTTCAAGACCACATAAGATCCAAAGTTACATGATCTAATTATCACACGGGTACTCTACAGTTCATCTGGCTTGTCGGGTCTGCTTCATTCTCTAAAGGAGCAAAGTGGGAAATTGCCAGCTTGGCCAAAGTTATGTGCCCAATGCAAGATATGGACTGGGAGCCCCTGTTCCTCCTCCTTGGTGCTTTAATGACACTTCCTAAACGACAGGAAAGGGCAGCTCTCCTGTCTCGTGGCCGTCCTCACCTCACTTGGCTCGATCATTCCTGCATCAGTCTGGCCTCCTGGGCTCTCGCTGATGTAGTCCTCTTCTTTCCAGCGGGCTGTGTCCCATTCTGCCTTGGCCTTCACTTGCTGCTGCTCACTGAGGAGCTTCATGAGGAAGCCCGTTTTGGAGATGAGCTTGGCACAGGACAGCTGCACCTGGGGGTCCGCACAGTCCATCTGCAGAGTCCTGATAACTATTAAAATAAAGTTTCTCACGTCATTATTGGGGATGAGGGACCGAAGCTGCTGGTTCAGTTGGTGCCCTGGGGATGACTGCAAGGGGTAAGTACTGCCTGTAGGCATGGAGGGGATGTCCCTGCCCATGTTAGGGTTCCCCCATTGCATTTTCTCAGTGGGGGCAATCTCAGGGGAACCAGTGGCCAATGGATGCCCCTGGGCTGTGCTGGCAGGGGGAGATTCTTCTGGCACAGTGTTTCCTAAGTTATTTGCTGCAGCAAGGCTGGCTTCAAGAATATCTTCTGCATGTGGTACTGGAAGAGCCATCGCTTTCGGAGAAGGAAAATCCTGAGAACTCGAGTCTCCAGAAGAGGGAGAAGGCTCTCGGGGAGGGGAATCAATGAGACTTTGTAGGGCAAGGAACGCAGGCCTCTTTACAGAGCTCCATGTGTTGATGGGATTTTTCCTTTTCATCTTCAGTCTCCGTTTGGTTTTGAACACTGGAGAGAGATCAATATTATTCAGGTGGTAATTCCCTCTGGACTCTGGTTCTGCTCCCACTTTGGTCTTAGATGTTCTGAAGACAGCATGAGGATCAATTAAGCGGTAATTCACTCCATCATATAAACTTGGTTCTGCTGCCTCTGTCTTTTTTGTCCTAATTTTTGCTATTTTTTCTGGTTCAGAGAGAGACTTTGCACGGGCTGCAGCAGATGGCCTGCCCACGATGTACCTCTTCAGGGAAGAGGCGTCCCTGGCATTGTGCTCCTCTGTGAGTGGGGGCTCTGGGTAGAAGGAGTTGGCCACCAGGTGCCAGGGCCTCTGGGCCACATGAAGCTCCTCCTGCTCCCTGGCTCCTGCGCTCCCCAGCCGGCCTTGCACGGTGCCCTCCACAAGGGGGCGCGCGTTCTCTCTCCTCCTGATTGTCTCCTGCTGCATCAGCATGGCAGCTTTTTGTGTTTTTTTAATGTCATCAATTTTTTGTTGAATTTTGTAGTTTATCAAATTTTTCAGAAAGTGGATCTTTCTCATTTTACGTTCATTTGATTTTAAAGACAAGTCTTTTGGATTGGTTTTCAAGTGATCCACAGATCTATCTTCTTGTGGACTGGAAAAGAACAATTTAATGAAGGGTAGTAACACTGACTCTATGTCTTCTACACTGCTGCCTGAGAAATAAGGCAATACGTAATTTAGTGAACTGATAACATCTTTTTCATTTAAGTCTAGTCGCTCACTTGTAGAGTCTAGAATGCCAAACTTATGTTTCTCTGAATTCTCTGTTTCAACAATTTCGTGCTAGTGTTCCTCTTCCGGGCCTGCAGTATCTTCAGGAATTCCGCTTTGGGATTCCCCGTCGTTGGTTCTGTCAGAAAGGAAGAGAATGCTTTCGTTACCAGGAAACTGAGTGTCAGTGTACAGACATACATCCCCAGCAGTTTAGGCTCGGAATCACCAAGATTTGGTTACCACATAGGAAGAAAAATTAACCCAAGCTTAAGTCTATGAAATGGCAGCAACAGAAAGGAAGAAAAAAGTGATTTTTAAAAAGAGTGTAATCAGAAGAGTCCTGAGTATGAAAAAGCAGTCACTGTTTAGGGTTGTTCCTTGTCTCCCCAGTGGCCAACTGCCCAGCACCCAGTAAAAGCCCATGGCCGGGAGACAGTCTCCATGCAGCTGGCCCCTGTGGAAGTGCCTGCCTCACAGACACATCCTGCACCGTCCTGCCTCAGACACCCAGGGGGCACAAGGCTTCCTCTCTCCCCCTCTCCAGCGACCTTGCCTTCTTGCTGCTGTCAACAGGTGACCATGGCCAGACACATTCACATGAGGGGAGTGAAGGCACAGATGCTAAAACAGGGGCCTACTCCTCCTCTGGATGTGTCCTTTTCCACCAAGGCAACAGTTACTTGGTCTCTGCTCAATGTTTCCTAGCCCTTATCACAGAAGGTTCCTCATACAGAAAACCACCGCATCAACCCTTGGTCTTTAAATATGGCCAGGGGTCTGGGATGTAGGTGGAGTGGTCTGTGGGTTGCTAGGTGGTACGCATGCACAGATTGTTCTGTGAGCTCTCTGGGGTGGTAGCAGTGTCTGGGTAAATGTTGCTCAATGCCCTAAAATGTAAAAGGGAAAGAGGCTGGAGCCCTGGTGTGGTAGCCTAGTGGCTAAAGTCCTCACCCAGTATGCACCAGGATCCCATATGGGCACCAGCTCGTATCCCAGGTGTTCCACTTCTCATTGAGCTCCCTGCTTGTTGCCTGGGAATGTAATCAAGGATAGCCCAAACCCTTGGGACCCTGTACCCAGGTGGGAGACTAGAAGAAACTCATGGCTCCTGGCTTCAGATCAACTCAGTTCTGGCCATGGCTTCCACTTGGGGAGTGATCCAGTGGATAGAAGTTTTTCTCTCTGTCTCCCTTTCTCATTGTAAATCTGAGTTTCCAATAAAAATAAATAAATCTTAAAAAAAAAGGGGGGGGGGAAGAAGCTGCTTTTGCAAATGCCAGTTTTTGCTTTCATTTCTAGTATTTCCAGCTTGACTTGCGGAAGCCTTCAAACTTCCAAGTGCAGGAAGGTCAAGTGTGCTGTTGTGTGGCTGGGCTTCTCTCCCAGGCCCTGCTGTGATAGTGAGAGGAGGAGGTGAGCGTCATGAGAAAGAAGGAACATGAGTGCGTGGAGAGTCAACGGTGGACAGAAGACCGGGTGTCTGGCTTCATCCCTTCATGCCTCCATCTTGTTTCTCCTCTCTGTGAGTCCATTAAATTGTTTGTTCTGCCCCCTCTTGGAGAGAAGGGGTTAATAGGTGGAAAAGTGTGCTCGACAACAAACAGCACTGTTTGGCATTCACTAGTATGCTGAAGTCCTGGATCCTGACAGAGATGTGTATCCAAGCTCTAGGGAGAATAGAGCAGTCTTGTCTGGAATCCCAACATTAGTGGGACTTCAAGTTAGTTGGTGGAGTTTAGTTACTTACTTAGTGGGACTCCAGATATCCGGAAAACCACAGCAAAGTCCCTGGGTGACTGCCCAATGAGAAGCCTGAGCCTCGGAGCAGGTTCAGAGCTGGGCTGTCTACTGGTGGATGGCATTCCACTCCATCAGAGGAGCCAGGCAGCCATGCCTGTCTTGGAACCACCAACTCCCAGGCTCAGAATAAAGCAGTGTCACTTATACTCTTCTCCACAATTGCAAAAACAAGCCAACAACAATGTTCTACACCTGTTCTCTAGGGCAGAGGCACTGGAGGCCTACTGTGTATAAAAGCAGGCTACACACTGTGGTGCAGTGCACAAATGAGTGCTCATGGAAGCAAAGCACCAAGCTGAGAGCACAGTGCACCATGTGGCCCTCAGCGTTAATTCCTTCCCTTCCATTTCTTTCCTGTGATTCTTTATGCACAAGGAACAGTTAGAGCATCAAATTTCCTATCAGTCACTGGGAGCCTGATGTTCATTGAGAGAGTAGTTCAGAAATTGAGAGTTTTACTCTGAAGGAATGAACTAAAATAATTACATAATAGCTTTAAGCATTTATCCCTAATTTACAAATAAGAAATTAAAATCACCAGGCATTTGAGACTCACCACAAGATTGAGTGTTTGTCAGACACTCACTGCAACAGTGCAGCTTGACTGTCTTGCAGACAGCCTCAATATCCTTTTTAAATTGGCAGAGGCAGCAGGCCATGGAGTTCGGTAAGATCCTGTTAAAAGGAAACACAGAAAATTCAGCTAATAATTAAAGGATTATCTGAGTAGGTCAAGAGGCAGGCCAAGGCTGTGAAAAAGGTAATCTTGAGATGTGGCATCAGGCTATGTGGCTGGGAACCTGATGACCAAGTGCTGCTCTTAAATGTTGCAAATATGGGAAGGATGCAGAGGTGCCCAACAGAAAGGTAAGCAAGGCAGGGGGTGTGGTATGCTCGGGATAAAGGTGACAGGGGCTGGAAGCGAGTGCCACTGGTCAGTACTGTCACTCAGGAGTATCTCCTCCCAGCTCACAAGTCTCACTCTGGGATAATGTCAGACTTGTGAGAAGGAGTCAGAGCCCCCAGCCTTGGGAATGCCTTTCTCATCTGCTGTTCGAAGGATCTAATATTAGAAATTACTCTAGCTGCAGAAAAGACTGACTCTAGCAATTGTTGAAGAAAGATACAGAGTAAAAGGATCTCTCAGTCAATGTTGGGGTTTACAAAAAGTTTGCCAGGGGTAGGCATTTAGCCCAATGGTGAATATGTTGCTTAGCAACCCACATTCCATGCACCTGGGTTTGAATCCTGTCTCCCCTTCCTCCAGTGAACACCCTGGGAGGTGTCAGGTAAAGCTCAATAAATACTCAGAAGTAGAATAGCTGGAACATATGGTAGGTCTTAAAGTTTTTATGAATACTCTGAAACTAATTTGATTAAAAGCTTTTCTTGAGACATATTTTTAAAAATTATTTGAAAGGTGGAGAGAAAAACAGAAACGTTCCATCAGCTGGTTCACTCCAAATATCTACCACAGTCAGGGCTGGCCAGGCTGACGTTGGGAGCCCAGAACTCAACTTGGGTCTCCCCCCCATAGGAGGCAAGAACCCAATAAATTGGGCCATCAGCTACTGCCTCCCAGGGTGCACATTAGCAGGAAGCCAGAGTTGGAAATGAATCCGGCACTTGAATTCAATCACTTTGATGTGAGTATGAGTGTCCCAGGTGGTGGCTTACTGCTGCTCTTGTAACAGCTTCATTTGGGATAGCCAAAAATGGAAAGAACCCAAGTGTCTGGCCACAGATGAGTGGATAAATGATACTGAGTTCACATAATGAGATGTTGTTCCACTAGAAAAAGAAATGAGCTATTTCAACAGACAACAGTCGTGTCTTAATCGTATTACATAAATAAAGATGATTAGAAAGAGTGCATAGCATATAATTCCATTCATATAAAATTCTAGAAAATGCATATGATAGTAACAGAAAGATGCTGAGACTTACACAGGCACCGGGAGAGCAAGAGTGATGGAACAGAGGGTTCCAAAGAGATATAAGGACCTGTTGATGTGGTAGACATTTGGAGTTGGGTGATGACTTCATTGTATATACATATATCTATACCTTATTTATGGTCTCAATTATGCTTTCATCTCTGGCATTATTGTGAAACTGTCTGAAGGAAGAAGGAAGGGAAGGCGGGAAGAAGAGAATAAGGAAGGGAAGAAGACAGGCTACTCCAAATCTATGTGACAGGTATATGGGCAACCATTATATTCTGTCTAGTAAGTTTGAATTTGTAAAAATATTTACTTGAGGGTGCCGCTGAGTGTGTGGAGAGATAGGGACAGAATTAAGCAGAAGAGAGAGCAGGAAGTGCAGAATTGCAGGAAAAGATGTCCGAAGCTCCCTGGAGTCGGCGAAACTGAGGCAACTTTCACACAGGCAAGAGAGAACCTGGAAGAACTCTCAGGATGGCAACCTGCCGCTTGAGCTTGTGGAGACGGATACCAGGATACCATCCGGGACAGGCAAGGACTCAGTAAAAACCTGGTGAGTCATGAATCGATGCAGGGAAGACACCAGCAGGAGCCTTAGCCTGCCCATAAGAGACAGAGGGAGTCAGAAGGACTCTCAGATCAGGACACTGGTGGGATTTAAAAAAATGGCCCAATGAGGAAGCTATAGGCACAGATATGAGCAGCCTCTCCCAGAGGAGGGAACGGCATTGGAGAAAGGATAGTTGGGAAGTGAAAGGTGCAGTTTGGAGACACAGTCGGCAAGACCTGAGACCACCCCCACCCAAGGTTTCTCAGACTTGGGCCACCCAGAGGGATGCCAGAATCCCCCAACACAGAGATGTGGGAGCCCCAGGGTCAGAGGTTTCTCTCAGTGACCCAGCAGCGTAAGAGCAGACTCCAAAAGTGCATGAGGGTAGGTTAGTGCCAATACCCAGCAGACCGCAGGAGAACCCAGCGGTGCAGGTACAAATTCCAGGGCAAACCAAAGCCACATAACCCCGAGCCGGCGCTTGCCCATTGGAGATGAGGCGTGGTGCACCCCAGAGTGCGGAGATCCCAGCCACTGGTTGCACACTGTGTAGCAGAGGCTGGGTCATTTCCACTCTCGGCAACTGCACAGCGGGCAGAGGCTGTGAAGGCGCCGGGCAGCAGGGGCTTGCACACAGAACTGGAATTTGCAGGCTTTCCGTCGCAAAGCTCCACACCCTGCCTGAAACTGGGAAACGCAAATGAGGAGGAGAGTGAAAGCACTGGTCGCCCACAAGGTGGCAGCAGCTGACAAACATCCTAGTTACCTGGCTGGCTGAGAGGCCTCACAACCCACAGAGCAGCTGACAGATTCAGTGCTCCCAGAAGCCCCCAAAGCACACCAGAGCTAAAATCTCAAAACGACAAGAAAGCACAAAACAATGGGAAGAAGTACCAGAAAAACTATTCAGATGAAAGAGCCAGTACTCCCCCCAAAAATGACCAAAAAATAACCTGTCTCAGAGTTGCAAGAAAAAGACATTGAGGAACTACCGGAAAAGGAATATTAAAAATGAACATGAAACTCTTCATAGACAATGAGAAGTATTGGGAAGAGCTCAAAGAGTTCTCACAGAAATTAAACGGGTCCAAAATGAAATTTCAGAACTGAAAAATATGGCAGCAAGCTTGACAACAGATTCAGTGCTGCAGAGGAGAGAATTTCAGAATAGAAGGTAACCAAAATGAGAATACACAACAGAGAAGAAAATGAAACACCTGGGAATAAACTTAACAAAGGATGTGGAAGATCTCCATGAGGAAAACTACAAAACATTAAGAGAAGAAATAGAAGACTTCAAAAAAGTGAAGATAAATACCATGTTCCTGGATGGGCAAAGTCAACATCATCAAAATGTCCACATTCCCAAAAGCAAAATATGCATTCAATGTGATTCCAATCAAAATACCAATAACATTCTTCACAGAGCTGGAAAAAATGATACAAAGGTTCATTTGGAAACACAAAAAAACACGAATAGCCAGAACCATCCTGAAGAATAAGAACCTAGCGGGAGGGATCACAATCCCAGATCTTTGGACATATTATAGGGTGGTAGTTATCAAAACAGCCTGGTACTGGTACAGAAACAGAGAGGTAGATCAATGGAGTAGAATAGAAAATCCAGAAGGGAACCCACACATGCACAACTATCTAATCTTCAGCAAGAAAACAGAAAACAATCTGGGAAAAAGGAAGGTCTCTTCAATAGATGCTGTTGGGATAACTGGTAATAGTCTGCAAGACCCACACCTTTCACCACACACAAAGATCAAACCTAAATGGATAAAATCTAAATCTACACCCAGAAACCATCAAACATTTGGAAGAAAAAGTTGGAAATACTCTACAAGATATAGGTGTATGTACTGACTTCCTGGAAAAATCATCAAAAGCAAAGGAAGCCAAGACCAAAATAAACGAATGGGACCTTCATTAAGCTAAGAAGCTTCTGCACAGCAAAGGAAACAATCAGCAAAGTAAAAAGGCAATCAACAGAATGGGAGAAGATCTCTGCACACTACATGGGAGACAAAGGGCTACTTTCCTGAATATACAAAGAACTCCAGAACAATAATACAAACCAACCAGTCAAGAAATGGGCAGGGGTAAATGGGCAGACCTTTACAAAGGAACAAATTCAAATGGCTAACAGACACATGAAGAAATGCTCAAGCTCTCTGGCAATAAGGGAAATTCCAATTAAAAACAACACTGAGGTTCCACTTAACACCAGAAAGAATTGCCCACATGCAGAAAACTACCAACAACACCTGCTGGCAAGGTTGCGGAGAAAAAGGAACCCTACTCCACTGCTGGTGGGAATGCAGGCTGGTGCAGCCACTGTGGAAGTCAGTATGGAGAACACTTAGGCAATTAAAAATCCACCTACCATATGACCCAGCAATACCACTACTAGGAATATATCCAAAAGACTTGTTACATGAGAAAGCAACACGCACCCCAATGTTCACTGCAGCACAATCAACAATTGCAAGAACATGGAAACAACCTAAATGCCCACCAACAGAGGACTGGATAAAAAACTGTGGTTCATCTACACTATGGAATACTACTTGGGTGTTAAAAAATGAAATACAATACTTTGTGGCCAAATGGGCCAAACTAGAGACCATTATGCTAAGGGAAATGAGCCAATCCCAAAAGGTCAGATATCATATGTTTGCTCTAATATAATATGATGTCAAATCTAGGGATATTATATGTGAATCTTACTCTATGTCACTTCATACTTACCTGTACTTTGAGTAATAAGATCTTCACTCACTCTTAGACAAAAGGTGGAGAAGCGATTGTGTAATAAGATCTTGTGATGTAATCCATTAATCAAACATCCATAAGAGACTGATTATTTATAATTTAAAAAATACAGTGGTAAAAATATTTACTTGACAAGTAGAGTGTTAGAGACAGACACACACATACCACAAGAGAGAGAGGAAGAGAGTTAATCTTCCATCCTCCGATGGGGCTGGGCCAGGCTGAAGCCAGGAGCCAGGAGCTCCATCTGAGTCTCCTACCCCCGGCACTTTGGTCTTCTTCTGTTGCCTTCCCAATCACATTAGTAGAAAACTGGGTTAGAAGCAGAGAAGCCAGGATTTAAACCAGCACTCCTAAGCTGCTGTGCCACAACCCTGGGCCCCATGTAGGTATGAATTTTCTCACAACAAAATCTTGCAGTGAAAGATAGCCAAGCTGATTGTCTTATGAGTTAAGGCTTCCTGCAGACAGTTTCAGGGAGAGAACAGCCGTCTCTAACTGCTGTGCCACACTGCCCACTCACTATAAAATAAATTGAAATGGAAACACACAGATTGCAACCAGAAGAGGAGCAATCACAACTCCCATAACCTGCTGGTGACAATGCAAATAGCACTGTCACTTTAGGAAACAGTTGAACGGTTTCTTAAGGAGGAAAAAATGCAGTTAGTAGTTGCTGCAGCGACCCTAGCCTTGTGTTTATCACCTAGGAAGGGAAAACATGTTTACACAAAGGTCTGCCTAGGAGTGCTTTTAGCAGCTTTATTCATTATTGCAAAAATTGAGAAAGTCCAGATATGCAAACTGATGAGTGACTGAAACAAACTGGCCTATTCACACAACTGGGATATTGCTCAGCAACAGCACTGCTGCTGGAGCCAATGGCAGGGCAATAGCGTAATCTCACAAAGATTGTGCTCAGTTAAACAAGCCCAACACTAAAGCCTACTACATACACTGCATGACTTAAAAGACACTGACGAGGGCCTATCACAACGGCTCAATTGCCTAATTCGCCTCCTCCAAGCACCAGTTGCTCTATGGGTGCCATTTCATGTCCTGGCTGCTCCACTTCCCATCCATCTCCCTGTTTACAGCCTGGGAAGACAGCAGAGGATGGCACAAAGTCTTGGGATCCTGCACCCACATGGGAGACTCAGAAGAAGCTCCTGGCTCTTGTCTTCAGATTGGCTCAGTTCTGATCACTGCAGCCACTTCAGGAGTGAACCATTAAATAGATTTTTGTCTCTCCCTCTCTGTATATCTGCTATTAAATAAAAATAAATCTTTCTAACATCAAAAAAAAAAAAAAAAACTCAGCAATGTTGAAAAGGCAAAAGCAACAGGTGTCTGGGTTGGAAAGGGTTGACTGCAAAGGGTCCAGAGGGCCCATTTTGGCATGTCAGAAGCAATCTAGGAATTTAGTGGTGGTTTTATAACGATACAATGATGAAATTTATCACACTGCATACTTAAGTTTTATTATGTGCAAATTATTCCTGAATAACTCTGATGTAAGAAAGCAATTAAATCTTCAAAATGACAAAAACATAAGCCTAAGAGAACAACTTACAGTTTTTCCAGTTCGAGAGACTTCATGAGGATGTTCTCAACTGTGCTGATTGACACCAGTGTTCTTCCGAGGTCTCTGAGGGAGAAAGCCCAAGCAGTCATGATGTGACCCCCCAAGAAAAAGTTCTGTCCTTAAAAAGATGATTTCAAGGAACAAAATCTAATAAAATTGAAATGAAACAAAAAACTAGGATATTTTAAAAAGTAAAAAGAGTTAAGAGCATGCAGTTGCATTAACTTTTGGCTACTCTATAAAACAAGACAGCTTAAGAGTCTGTCAGGGCAGATCCTTCCAGGAAGTTCTCATGGAAGAAATTTAAGTTACTCTGCACTGTCAAGTCAGTGACCTTGGCACTGAGGGACAGAACCTGTACCGTTTGGTTTGTTGCCATTATCTTCCTTTTCATTTGCCTATTTCACTCCTTGGTTACTTGATATCTTTTCATCTGCTTTGTATCTCTACATGTATCTGAATATGCTCAACAACACTGTCTGCTGGGGCTGTTTTACACATTGTACATCTTTTCTTAATCCAGGAGCCCAGTTCAACTTAAAATTGCAACTTTTTAGCCTCAATGCAAAATACTTAAATTTTGATCAAAGTAAAAACAAGGAGTATAAATCACCCCATGATTCATGCGGTTTATTTTTCATACTTACAGATATTTTAATGCTGGCAAATTAAAAAGATAGGGATCTTCGACAGTTGTCAATGGATTCTGATCAAGATTTCTGAAAAATGCAATGGGATAAAAATTATACACCTCTTCTCTATGTATAAACATGTGCAAAAGTTTATATACATATACATATATATGACAGAGAATTTATAAATTAACAAAAATAATTTAATGGGCCTTCCCAGTAGCCTGGTAACTGAAGTCCTTGGCTTGATCATGCTGGGATCCCATACGGACACTGGTTCTAATCCTGGCAGCCCTGCTTCCCATCCGGCTCCATGCTCGTGGCCTGAGAGGGCAGTGAAGGATGGCCCAAGGCTTGGGACCCTGCACCACATGAATGGAGGGAGGGAGGAGGCCATACAGCCAGGATCTGCAACAAGTATTGGTCCACTCACTCCCAGCACATCTTAAACCCCTCCCTCGAATGCAAATGGAACTGTGAAATCATGAACCACAGGACAGGTGGCTATCTTGTCCAAGGTCAGGCTTGGAAGAAAATCTCTATCTCAAATCTCAATTCCCCTGGCCGTGGACCATCACAGAATTGTTAAGCAGGGAGGGAATAAAACTGCAACATTTCATTCAAGTGTGCCCTGGATGTACACAAAATCAGGCTAGAGCAATGCTTTCCTATTACTTTTCACATCATAGCTTAAAATAAACACCACCTTTGCTACTTCAAAAGTTCCCTTGCCCACAGATGGTTTATAACTTCACTTGTCAAAACACACCATGAGCTGGGTGACTGTGTTGAATTTTCAGTTGTTCTTTCTGCTTTATCATTTAGAAGAAAGTGACCCTGAGAAAGCACCAGCACCTCGGCTCCCCAGACTGAGCAGCAATCCCAGTTAAATTCGGGCTGGAATCTCAAGGAGCACTGGGAATCCGAGCAGCACTGTGGGGACTCTGGCAGCAGTGCTAACTGGATAGTATTTGCTAGCTATGCTCTCTTGCCCAAGGCCAAGATCAGCACTAGGAAAAGCAGAGCATGTCAGCTGTCACACAAAGTCCTGAGCCTCAATGCACCTTGGTGTCCTCATTGGAAAAAAAAAAAAAAAAAAAAAAGAGTGGAACTTAAGCCATACTTTGCAGAATTTGTTCATGACTTACACTCAGCTAAAGATAACTATATAGATTTTACATATACACAGCTCTTTAATATGTGTTTATCTTGTATTTCACTTACATCACATGCAAAAAATGCATTCCATGCCATGCCTGAAATGTGCCAAAACTCACTTCTGTGAGTAAATTGCAACCAAGATTTCTGTGAAAAGACACAAATTAAGAAGAAAGTTACTCTTTTAGAACATTCATCTTTCAGCAGTGATCCTAATTTGTACAGGTGAAACATCGCCTCCACACACTCAAGACTTCCCAGTTGGAAGACTCTGGCTTCTGACTTAACACTTTCACATCTACACAGGCGGTGCATTAGGTACACCAAACCACACGCGACAAATACTTGTGCTCAGTGATTTTCATTTCCTCTCTCTGGAACAAGGTTTCACAACTTGAGCACTTTAGAGTTTTGAGCTGGGTAATTCTTCTTTGTGGAGGTCTGTCCTGTACATGGCAGTTGTTCTAGAACAATTCATGGCAGGTGATTTCGCAGCACCCTGACATTGGCCCAAAATATCTCTGGAGATTAGAAAGATTTGCTACATAATTCTAGCTAACTTTCTACAAGTAAGAATTATAATGATATTGCGAAATATGATTGACTACCAAGGGGGGTTACAATTAAGACTTACTGTAATTCCAAAGATGACATTATAACTTACATAGATGTCAAAAAGGGGAGTGATTCAAATGTACTCCTTTCAATAAATTTTAGTTTATTACAGGATAAATCCCTAGGAAAAGAAAAAGCAAAATGTCTATTAGATCTCTAGTGAGTAGGAATGAACAGAATTTGTATTTCTTAATGTTGAATATGCAGTTTTTGTCTAAACTACACCTTTGGGCATCTGTTTGAACATTCCAGAGCTCCTAATCAAACTTATAACCTCTCCTAACAGTCTCACCTTCTGGGTCTTTATAAATAAAATATACAGCATGGCTATAGCTCTTGATAAGACTCTGAAGGGAAAATTTCCTGGCAGCAAGAGATATGATCAGATGACCTTTAGTAGTCTCATCAAATTCAAGACAATGAGATCAAAGTTTGTACCTCTATCTGTAATTTCTAATATTCAGACGAATATTCTACTTTTATACCTGCCTGGTGTGGTTCTCTTTTTGGAACTAGTTCAGTTCCAGAATAAACCAGAGAACCTTTCAAATCATTTGAAGGGAAGCTACTCCTCAGATGAACTCATCATTTTGAATTAATTCAGAATTATATTATCCTTAGTAGGAATTCTTTTCTGATTTCACGTCGTCTTGACATTGCGTAAAAGCAGATTTGTTTCAGCTGCGCAGTGGCAGCAGAACAGAAAACAGCATGAACTGGATTCTTGTTGGAAAACACTCACTTGTGACCATAGTAACATGGATCCCAGCTTGCCTCACTTTTCACCCGCATGGCTGCCAACTGCCCACTGTGGCTGTCTCCATCTCTAGTCTCTCTTCTGGAACTCTCCAGAAGTGGTTCTCAAACACTGGCTTCACTTAGGCACCGAAGATGCAAATTCTCGGCCCGGATCTAGAACTCAATCAGGAACTCGGCAGGGCTGGGGTGGTAGAGACAGAACCTAGTTCTGCAAGCCCCTGGATGACGTTGATGCAGGCTCGGTTTTGCTTCAGAGCGCTGCCAGGAACACGTGGCTCTCCTGGCTGGTGACTTTTGCATGACAGTCAAAGCCCTGGAGGCTGTGGCCCCACACTCCTTACGGCTTTCCTCCGTGGACTCCACAGGTACTCATGGCGTTCCTCAGACACTCTCCCATGTTTTGCCCTTCTCTCACTTTCCTTCTGCGGTCTGAGGGTATCGCCCCACACTGTCCTCCCAATGATGCCCAGTGGCTCTACACAGTGTCCTTCCAATGATGCCCTGTTTAACCAATATCACTCTCGCTACAGCCCCCTGATCCAACTTGGAGTCTCTTTTCCCTGTTCTGTTCTCCAGAAGCAATTTGCACATCATGTCTGTGCCCTTTTCTTTTTCACATTGTTACCCTTGCCTCTCCCCTTCCTTCAAAGCATAAACACCTTGAAAGCATGGACTTGGCCTTGCTCATGCGCACTGCTTACCATGTTTCCACCTGGCTCATGGAAACAAAGCAAACTCAGATACTTAGGAAATAAAGGAATAGCTAAGGAGTGAGTGAACGGAAGGAGGAACAAGTTACTAGTTTTTTTTTCTTTTAATTTTTTTTTTCTAAATCACTAGTGTTTAAGGAATGTGGTTGCATTACTCCACTGACCCTCTGCAGTGTGTTGTCATCGACCTGTTTGTTGGATCATGTTTGATTTCTGTGCGTGTTTCCCCTGCAAGCGATCTTGCAGCTCCTAGGAGGGTAGGAAGCCTGCCTTACACATTTTAGAGCCTCAAACTAGACTAAGTGCTTAGCATTCTCTTTCAGTTATGAAAAATGATGGCATTTTAAAAAGGGATGACAATATAGATGCCGACAGAGAATAACTAGCTTGCAAAGGACTTCCCACTAAAAGCAAGGAAGGGCCTGTTGTACTGGACAGTTATTATCTCTTCTGTTTTTCTCCAGATCAGGTCTATAAGGTTTGGGAGTCCAGAAGAAAAAGATGGAAGCAATTGTCCCCTTCAGGCCTAGAGAGCTTGGTCATTCAAAGGATTATTGTTAGTGTCAGATAAGGCTGTTTCTACCCACTGTCCTTCAGCTGTATAAATTGGAAAGAAGAATCTATTTCCTAAGAGTAGCAATAATCGGCCTAATAAAGATGCATGGCATTTGGAGCCCATTGTGGTATAGTAGGTAAAACAGCCCTGCCATGCCAACATCCCAGTTGGGCCCTGGTTTGAGTTCACTGCTCCACTTTCCATCTACATTCCTGCTATATGCCTGGAAAGGCAGTGGAAGATGGCCAAATCCTTGGCATTCCTCCCCCTGACCAACCCCTCCAAATACCCAGCTATTATGCTTGAAGAATACAAAATGAATAGTATGGATTCAATGCATGAGACCCTATACATACTTACAGAATTGTTATTTTAATACTAGAAGAAACTTTAGAGATTATTGAAACACCTTATTCATTTGATAGAAAACAACTAAAATCTCAGAAATAAATGTGCTTAACTAACTTACAAGTGCTGCAGGAATAGCAAGCCTTCAAATGAATCCTTATGTAATTCAGTCAAATAATTTTCACTGAGAATCCTGGATCAAAATGAAGAATAACAACAATTTTTATTCAGGAATAACTCTGATGTGGAGGAACCCTCAGTAGGGTGCCACTTAAATGCAAGTTAGATCTTTCTCCCTTTCTCTGTAACTCTAATGAGTTTCAAGTAAAACAATTACATCTTAAAAAAAAAAAGCCCACATATCACACTAGTTTTCCTGTGTCTAAATGATGTGCAGAAAAACATAAGAGAAGGTCTGGAGCGATGTATATCACAGTCACAGCAGCTTACTTCAGGGATGGAATGTTACACTACAAGAAGATTTTTACTGTATCAGTTTTTAGTCTCTTAAGAACATAATCATGGAGCCCAGCATGAAAGCTCAATGGCTAAATCCTCATCTTGCAAGAGCTGGGATCCAATGTGGGCACCAGTGCACGTCCCGGCTGCTCCACTTTCCATCCAACTCCCTACCTTAGGGCCTGGAAGAGCAGTAGAAGATGGCCTAAAGCCTTAGGACCCTGAACCCAGAAGAGAGAGCCAGCAGAGGCTCTTGGCTCCTGGCTTCACCTCGGCTCAGCTCTGCCTGTGGAGGCCACTTGGAAAGTGAGCCAACAGATACAGAATCTTTCTGTCTCTCCTCTTTGTAAGAATAATTTGTCCAACAAAAGCAAAGAAATCTTAAATAAAAAATAATATAATCATGTATTACTTACAAGATGAAAAATAAACTTCAGTGGTCTCATTGCAAATACTGTGTTTTAGAACTGTAATAAGTAGAGGTTGATTTGTTAACATGAAGGGGTAAATACCTTTTCCAAGACATTCTGACCTCTAATACTGGACCAAAGAGTTTAAGATGCAGTTACTTTGTTTTTGTATCCATATTTAGAGAGAATATACTCACAAAGTCTCAGCCCAGCGATATGCTTTCCATACATTTTTGTCAATGTAGGATATAGCGTTCCCTTGGAAATTTCTGTAAAGAAGCACAGTTCATATCCTTGAATAGATAGGAACACAATGAACAGAACAAGGAAAACACTCGTAGCAACTTCATGGGGATATTGAATATGGATATTACTACCAGCTTTCTAGTTTCTAGAGCTTCACCTGATGGCAGGCACAATTAAGAAAGAAGAACATGGGGTCCTGGCACAAACATTGAGGTGTCACTTCAGAAGCTTAACTTCCTCTTTGTGCAATCTCTTTGATAGATAATGCCAATCAGTTGCATTTGAGGGACATACTGCCTCCAAAATGCCCTGGGTGTCTAAACTGGTCCTTTTGCAAATCAGTAAGAAAATAATTCAGCTGAGAACAATGGATCAATTTATCTTCAGCAGCAAATAAGAATAAAGAAACTCCAACGTACAGTAATTCTAACACTTTGGCCAAGTACCTTCTACTGCAATTATTCTACCTACGTGAATGGACATGGACAATGCAAAATCAGATGGACTAATGCGTTGACACGAATGGGTCACTGGCCATAGCCATGGTGAGGGATGGAAAAATCAAATGATTGAGCCAGGAGCAAAACATCACCTCCCTCAGGGAAAAGTGCAAGGGAGAGAAACTGGAAGGAGGGACACATATCCTCACGGAGATGGGAGTGACTTATGGATAGTGGAGTAGAGAGGATAGGATGATAAAGGGTGTGGGGGTGTAGATTCTGATATTTTTCTCTTTGTTCCATGATCCTTTGGCAGAGTAAGAATGTACCCATGAATCATCCACATTCCAAAGCAATCTTAAATACTGTAAGTTTCAAGTCTGGGTAACTTTGAGTCTTTACCTGTGCTTCTGTCTTCACTCCATCATCAGCAGTGCACCTGCATGGCTTATGTACAACACGGTTGTACCTGCGTGTTCTGCCTGGTGGACATTCCCATTCAACCAGAAGGCTTTGCTCTATGTTCACCAACATAAAGTATTAAAACTGAACACACCTCCCTCAGATTGCCTCTCCTTTCTGATTGCTGTCTGCACCTGTGAGGCAACTCACTCTCACCAGCACCCAGGACAAAGCTTGCAGTCATATTTTTTCTTCTGTGCATACATCCACCCACCAGCCTTTGATCAGTTTCTAGGTCCATCCGGCCTTTTTCATCTCAGGGACTTTCTTTTCATTCCTATCAGAGCTGGTGACTTGGTCTCATTCTCATTTTATTCCTTGATTTTACTAGAGGTCTTTTTTTTTAATGTCCCTGAAGTAAGCTTTCCTCTCTAGATGACTCTCCATATAGTGTCTAAAATCATATTTCTGAAACAGGCATTTGGCCTAGTAACTAAAACACATCTCACGTCAGAGTGCCTGGGCTCCTACCCGGCTCCAGTTACTGACTTCAGCTTTCTGCCCACACACACCCAGAAGGTAGTGGAGCTGGCTCCAATAGCTGCCCTCCTGCCACCCTCATGGCAGACCTGGGTTGGGTTCTTAGCCCACTTTGACCAACCCAGTGCCTGCTGTTCAGGCATTTAGAGAATGAACTAGCAAATGGAAACTCTCTCTCTGAATCTGTCTCTCTGCCTTTTGAGTAAATGCACAGAAAAAAATTAAGACAATGATCAATTTCTTTTAAAATTTTTAAAAATAATCTTTCTGTTGGGCCCGGCGCCGTGGCGCAGTGGTTAAGGTCCTTGCCAGGCACGCCCGGGATCCCATATGGGCACCGGTTCTAATCCCGGCAGCCCCGCTTCCCTTCCAGCTCCCTGCCTGTGGCCCGGGAAAGCAGTCGAGGACGGCCCAAAGCTTTGGGACCCTGCACCCGTGTGGGAGACCCGGAAGAGGCTCCTGGCTTCGGATCAGCATAGCATCGGCCCGTTGCGCTCACTTGGGGAGTGAATCATCGGACGGAAGATCTTCCTCTCTGTCTCTCCTCTCTGTATATCCGCCTTTCCAATAAAAAATAATAATAATAAATCTTTAAAAAAAAATAATCTTTCTGTTTTGATCACCTCTCTCTTGCTTGAAAACTTTCAGGGTTTTCTGCAGCTCATAGTATAACTCTGAAACCCCTGTAGCTGATATTCAAGGTTGTTCATTTAATATCTTTCATTGCTTTGTAAGTCAGTTCTTGGCAGACAAGCTGTCTACTAAGCCTTGCTGATTCCAATAGTCAAGGGTAACAGGTCAGGCTGTCAGGATGCTGGCATCCCATACATATGTGGGTACCGGTTTGATGACCAGCTTCTCCACTTCCTATCCAGCTCCCCACTAATGTGCCTGGGAATACAGTGGAAAATGGCTCAAGTGCTTGGGCCCCTGAACCCACACAGGAGACCCAGAAGAAGCTCTTGCTCCTTACCTTTGGCCTGGCCCAGCCCCAGCCATTGTGGCAATATGAGGAGTAAAGCAGCAGAAGTAAGATCACTTTTTCTAGATCTCTCTTCTTGCTGTAATTCTGCCTTTGCAGTAAATCTAGTAGTTTTTTTTTTTAAGAGAAGGAGAAGGAAAGGCGACAAGAAAAATGTCACAATAGGAAGTCAGGAAATACAGGTTGAGTCAGGAGGAAGGCCCAGCAAGGTACTGAGCAAAAGGCTACCATGACAGACAAGATCTAGAGAACTCTGAGGAAGGGTAGTTCTTACAAGATGGTGAAGGTGTCATTGTGGGCACTGAAGGATCCTGGCACAGGCACTTGGTGGAGCTTCTGCCACGGGCTGAGATTGGTACATGACAGCATTCCATTTTTGCAGGTACAGAGCTCGCAGATGTCCGTGCTGTTGGGGGTGCTTTCTTTTGACTCAATGAAAGTAGTTAGCCGGGTAGCATACTCAGCAGCCTTGACTTCAGGATACAAAGTTGGAAACTGCCCTGCAGGTGGAGCTGTAGTCTTCAGGATTTTAGAAGGGCCAACCTCTGGAGCAGGGACTGGAGCTTTGATAGGCTCCAACTCTGAAGGCTGACCCGTGACTCGGGAATCTGAAGGCTGACCCGTGACTCCGGTTGATGTTGCTACAGTTACTATATCACTAGTTGGCTCTGGTGGCCGAGTTAGAGTAACCGAAATAGTTGTAGGCTTGACCTCTGTAGATAAATTGAGAGGATTGCCTGTGACTTGTTGAGTCTGGCTCCGGTCTGTATATGTAGGTGGCACCTCAGAATGCCTTGGAGGTGCTGCTGATGTAGTCTCCAGGGCTGTAGACTGTTCAGCCAACGTGGTGGGTTCTGGGATTTTGAAAATTTCTGTCTTCACAGCTTCAACTGTGACACTGACTGGCACTATATGCTGAATTGGAGCTACAACCTCCAATGGAGGCTCTGGAGGCTGAGCTGAGGTCTTCTGCAGGGCTGGAGATGATTCAACTTCCGCAATTCTGGATTGAAAAGCCAGCTGAATATCAAACGCCTGAACTGTGACTTCAGTCAGGTTTGGATGCTGCGCCTGAACCAGCTCTGCCTGTGGAAGTGTCACCTCAGGGACACCTGGAGGTGGTGTTTTGGCATTCCTCGGGGCTGTAGAATGTTCGACCTCCACAGCAGGACTCGGGTTTAGATGCTGAGTCAGAATTGCATCTGGACTCGTTCCTGTAGGTTCTTTCAGGGCGGTTGCATGCTCAGCCTCTGCAGTGGGTTCTGGACCATTGGTAGGTGTAGGTGGTAGGTTCAAGGTCTGATCTGTGACACTGGGTGTCACTGGAGGTTGAGGTGGAGCTGGCGTTGGAACGGCCACCTCTTGCAACACTGGAGGTTGAGCTCCCACCTCTGTAGATGGCTCTGTAAGCTGCACAGGGGTCTCCTGAGTGGTTGGAGCCTGGTCAACCTCTATATTGAGTTCTGGAGTTGGGGTATTTCCCAGGTCCCAATGTGCAACTGTGACCTTGGGCAGGGCTGCATGGTGAGTCTGGACCTGGTCTGGATGTGAAATCTCAGAGTCCAGAGTTGTTGTGGTCTTCAGGGCTGTAGAATGTTCAGCCTCCACACTGGGTCCTGGAGTTATAGTCAGCTGCAGCTTCAAAGGCTGAAAGGTGACCCTGGGTAATATTAGATACGGAGCCTGTTCCTGAGCTGGTTTGGGGACCGTTGCCTCCTCATCTACAGATTCTTGAAGTGGCTCTCGAGGTTGGGTTAGGGGCTCCGAAGAAATGACACCCTCTGTAGTAGGAGATGGAGTCAGGTAATATACTTGGGGTTGGCTTTTGGAACCCACAGTCATTTCCGGATGTTGAGCGGACACTTTCAGCCGTGGTGGAGACGGAAGGGTGATCGGAAGGGCCTCCAGGGGTTCAGCTGGAGATTCCCATTCTGTAGGGATAGGCTCTATCTCCTTAGGGGAAGCTGCAGTCTCATCCATGGCCTCTGGCTCAGCTGCAGAAGGTAAGGCTGGGTAAGGCTCAACCTCTGAAGGTGAAGTGAAGGTGACCTCAGGATCTACTGACTTATCCATACTTGTGGAAACTGTTGAGTGGTCACCTCCTTTCAGGAGTGTCAGGTCCAGCTCATTGTTCCCCGAGGCCTGAGCTGCAACTTCCTGTTGGCTTGAAAGTTATAGCCTCGGTCATGGTCTCTGCAGGGTTAACAGACACACTCGGCAATGTTGGAGACTGACCTTCAGGAGGAACTGTCGCCTCATGAGACTCTGCAGGTGGAGATTTCACTTCTTCGGTCTCTGACACCGGAGCTGGAGCTTCCTGCTGGGCTGGAGACAGTCTGATTTCCTCAGATGAGGGTTCCTCTTCCTGAGGTATTTCTGATGAAGAAATAGACTCAACCTCTTCAAAAGCTTCTGGAGGCGCAGCTGGGGCCTCAGGCTGAGCTTCAGCATTGTGCCTTATTGGCAAGCCATCTTCTGTATCTGCTTGCATTGTACTCTGCAAACGTGCAGGTTTAGCAGGCATACTGGGTAAGTCCATGTGTTGTTGCCAGTGGTGGTGAGCTGAAGCTACGAATATTTCCTCCTGGTGCTCTGGAGGCTGAACTGTGTCCTCCCCAGGCTGGCCTTTAGGAGATTCAGCAGGTCCAATGGACTCGGATGGCTGAGCAAACTGTTCCTGCTGGCCTGGAGAAGGTTCTGCCTCCAACGAAGGCTCAGCATCCTGAGTTGGCTGTTCCAGCTGGGTGGGAGGAGATGTGACCTCCACAGAAGGACGTGCACTCTGAGCTGGGGTCACCTGGTGGCCTGGAAGAGATTCTGTTCCCACAGATGGGCCTGGAGCGGGAGGAATTGGGGCCACCTGCTGGCCTAGAGGTTCCACCTCCACTGAAGGCTCAGCATACTGAGCAGACTCCTCTTGATTACTCGGGAAAGGCTCTAGGTCTACAGAAGGGCCTGGAGTCTGAGCTGGAGCCTCTTGTGGGATTGAGGGAGGGGATTCCCCTTGCGAGATCCCTGCAGGCTGAACTGGGGCCTGCAGCTGGCCCAGAGTACTTTGAACTTCACCACCTGGCTGTAGCGTAATTGTGAGCATCACATCCGCTGGCCTCCCTGTGATGCTTGGCAAAGTAGATTGCAGCGGTGGACGTGGAACACTGATCTCGTTTTGAACAAGCTGCCGGACAGCTTCTTCAGCAGCAGAGATCTGAATTGGAGACCCCTGCAGCATTGGAGAAGGTGTAGTCTCCTTGAGAGGCTGTGGAACCTGGGCTAGGCCTTCTTTTTGGAGCAACGAAGGCTGGCCCTCCTCAAGAGTCTCGGGGCTTTGAGGTATGTCCTCTGGCTGAAGTTCAGATGGTTCTGCCCCATCAAAGGGCTCCAGGAGCTCACCTGGGTGTTCCTCTAATTCCATCGGGAAGCCACCAGGATAGACGACATTGTCATCTAGAACATTTGTAGACCCCAGGTCATCAAAGCCACTGGGGTCTGTTTCAGTTGTCAGCGCACTGAGCAACTCATCTAGTCTACCCATAGATTGGGTAGACCAGGCCTCAGGAGTCAGCTGGACCAAGTTCTGGTCCCACTCCTGAGGAGGTGTTGCCTGTACTAACTGCAACAGCAGTATAAGCCAAAGGCTCATTTTGGTAGCGGGCGGGGAGGGGTCAGGGTTTTTTGTAAGCAGTAGATCAAACTACCAAGGGAAAAGCAATCCACCTTATTCAAAGGTGTGAAGCATATGAGAGTCCCTTGGCACCTGTTCCTTAGTAACCTTGCCTTCTGCCCCGCCCTTTACTGATGACATCTTCATTACACAGCCTTTGTTGGTCTCTGCTGCTCTGAACTTGGGCACCTTTTTCTCACAGTCACTGCTGCCCTTCTCCTGCAGGAAAGACAGCTGTTCCCACCAGATCCCCTCTATCCGCAAGGCAGGCTGAGGATCACAAGCCCAGGTGGCCCCAGGACACTAGCAGACCATTGTAGTGGGGGGAAGGAGGCAAAGCTTCCCAAGGAAGTCACAAGGCCTGGCTTCTTGGAGTATTCAGAATGGCTAGTCGGAATCTGGTAGCCAGAACTCTGCCTCCTCTTGAGTTGAAATCCAAGAGATGCTCTTCCTCTCACCAGAGCCAGCTAGGAAAGGGGCAGAATGCTTCTTATGGCTACTTACTTAAAAGTGTGTCCACTTCCTCTAGAGCCTCAGTATCCTTTCTGTCCATGTTTGATCATTCACTCACTCTATTTGGTAGGAATTACCATGAAATCAGGGACGACTCCACCAGGACCCGCCGCCACCAGGGGCGCTCCCAGCGCAGACGTCCGGGACTGTGCCAGCTGGCTTGGGGACGTGAGACTCGGGGGCGCAACCGGGAACCTTTGGTGCTGACCCTGCCCGAGCGTCTGCGAGAGACCGGGCTCTGGCTTCAGGTTGCTGCCCTCGTTTGCCCTCGGTGCCATCTACGCAATGTTGGGGCTGCCGCTTCTCCTCCTTCAGCTGACGGTCGCACCGCCCTTGTGAGTGATGTCGGAAATGCCGACCCCGTCCGAGTCTCCCAGGGCGCAGAGCTGGCAGCAGAGCGTCTCTGGGGCCGGCTGGATCCTCAGTCACCCGGAGGGTGGCGATGCCCGATGCCTGCCAGGGCTGCGCCAGCACCGGCGCCCGCGGCCACTTTTCCTGCAGCCAGAGGGGAGGGGAGGGCACGCGGCCTCGAGCTTCCTCTCCCGGGATCCTTCTATGGACCCAGCGCGCGAGGGTTGACCTGAGCGAGGAAGGGCGCCTTGGCCAAATCCCCAGGTCTCGCGCCCGGGTTCCGCTCACCTACTTCCAGGAGTTGGCGCAGGGAGAGCCGTTGGCGGCTCGGGTTCCTTGGGCCGTTAGGTGCCGAGGGCGGCAGTTGGGAGCCGAGGAGCACCGCGGCCGAAAGTGCTCCCTGCCGTTGTGCCTGCTCCCCTAGGTGAGTCGGCACCGGGAGCAAGGAGCGCAGTGCAGGAGCTGCAGTTTGCCGGGCCTGCAGCCCTCCCCGTGAATCTGCAGCGCTGGTGCTGGAGTGAGTCTGTCGCCCTCGGAGCCCTCACCCGTCCTTGCCCGCGCCTCAGCTCTGCCCCTCGGCTTGCTCCCACCCCACCGCTGCTGGCCTAGACAGCTGCTCCCACTCGTGACCCTCTCTCTGCCTTATCCCATCACCATGCCAGCGGTCATGAGTGAAGACTGCTGCTCTCATGACCCTATCTTAGTTTCCTGGCAACCTTACCCTTGCCACTCATTGCTCTGGCAACCTGAAAGCCTTATGCAGGATGTGCCCAAGATCCCCCATTTCTGGTGTCCCTTGTCTCTGGCTTGGCTTTGTTATCCCATTCTCCCACAGTCCCTGCCCAGCTCCCCACAGTTTGATCCCAAACTCCCTACCTCTCCCCAACTCCTTCATTGTGACCCATTACAATGACCACCCCTTTCTTAGTAACTTAGTAGTCTTACCCCAAGTCTTGGAAAACATCTACCTCCCAGCCCTGTACATACTTTATCTGAGCATCACTGTGCTCCATTAGAGCCGGACCCTGTGGACTGGGGCGAGGATCCCTGTGGACGCAGGAGGGGCGAGGACATGGCAGAAGGCACTGCGCGGAGTGCCCTTGAAGTTCTGCCCCTCGCTCCAAGTGTCTCCTGATGGCGCCCACCTGTGCCTGCCCCAGACGTCCTACTGGGAAGTGCCCAGCTGGGCGGCGCACTGGCACCAGGGTCAGGACCAGGAGCTGGGGCCTCCAGCACGCAGCCAGACAGGGTGGTAGTGCTGCGCTTGTGTCTAGGGTTCATGCGTTTAGTGGTTTGCCCCTTTTTTGTTGGACAGCATGTTGCAGTTTTCATGTTTTGCTTTTTTAACTCATTATAATTTTGGTTTCCCAGGGGTTGAGATGGAAGAAGAGCTTTTATAAATTTCGTGGCTGCCCACTTTCCTGCCTTCACTTTGCATAGATAAATCCGGTTTGGGTTCTTGTATTATTAAAAGGTTGTGGGTCCCTTGGCCCAAGGAGAGAGAAACCCTCTCCCAGAAGTCGTTGTAGGAGTTTTACCAGCCATTGTGTGTGCTCCCAGATTTATTCTTTTTTTAATTGCCAGGTTTGGTTTAGATTTATAATTTAAAGGTAACTGGCAATGCACTTGATAAGGTCGTGCACCTATCTGGGTGATGGAGCTGGATTCCTTTATGCTGGTGAGTGGTGAGTGCAGGGGGAGGGAGAGTGGTCGAGTGTGTGTGTGTGCGTGTGTGTACCGCACACTGTGCCCACTTCCCCTTCTGGTTTAGCTGTGGGAAGGTCTGAGTGTGGGGCCATTGGAAAGCAAAAACCAACCACTGGCTTTACTTCTGAGACGGGAATCAGTAACTACCTTTTCTGTCCCACAAGATATGCAAAAACAATGGTATGGTTGAGCATGCTTCAACAGGCTTAGTTAAGAGCATGGACATCATGGCTCCTGCACCTCAGGCCATTATGGCATTGCACTGAGTTCGAGCATGATGTACCTGACTAGCCCTTGCACCTCGCAGGACTTGTCCATTGCACGCGAGAGGGTAGTCACTCTTATAACTGCCTTGTCGAGACATTGCTCTTTACAACCGCCGTGGTTGTAGCCCATGACGGGTAAGATAGACCCAGACAATTATCGGTCTAAGACAGGGACTACGTCAAGCTACGCAGCCTCCCTATGACGGATCGTGTGCCTTGAGTCTACAACCTAAGACAGGCCCATACCAGCTTATTTTAAAAGTAAAATCGTGAGTTGTGTTGGCATTAAAACTGTATCTTAAAAAAAAATACCACATGGGCCCGGCGCGGTGGCGCAAGTGGTTAAAGGTCCTCGCCTTGCATGCCCGGGATCCCATATGGGCGCCGGTTCTAATCCCGGCAGCCCCGCTTCCCTTCCAGCTCCCTGCCTGTGGCCTGGGAAAGCAGTCGAGGACAGCCCAAAGCTTTGGGAACCTGCACCCGCGTGGGAGACCCACCAGCATGTGTAAATATCTGTCCCTGGGATCAAGCCTTGGAGGGGAGCAAAGGAGATTCCCACCAAACCCCTGCTGGCCTACAGTTCTGAATGCAAGAACTGGGAATGGGGGTAGACCAGGCTGAACATAGTTGCAAAGTCCCTCAGCATGTGTGTGGGCTTGGCCTGAGGTGTGTCAGAGTGGGCTAGGCTCCAGCACCTGTGGCATTCATGAGAGCCAGAGTGGGTGTGTGATAGGCTGGGCTAGGTTGTGGCACTCATTGATTTGCATGAGAACCGGGTCTGGGGGTTCAGGCAGGGCTGGGCTGTAAAACTGCTAGCCAGTGAGGACTGGACTGTAGCAGTGAGAGCCAGATAGATTTGAGCTGGAATGGCAAGGCTGCAGTAACTGCTGGCTAATGTTGGGAACAGAAGTGAGCCAAATCAGGCTGAACCAAACACCCACCAATGTGCACAAGATCCGTGACTGAGTGTTGGTCTGACTGGGGAACTAGGGGAACTCCCCTATTAAGATGCAGTCCCGGCTGCTGGGCGTGAGGACCATGGTTGGGAGCAGGCCAGGCCAGGCCAGAGTAGGATACAGTGCCTGTCAGTAGACAAGTGGGTCAGGTCTTGGGGTTGGCCACTAGGGAACCAATGGAATAAACCTAAACAGCGACTGCTTTTTCATACTCGGGACTCCTCTGAGGACACTCTTTTTCCTCTCTTGTGTTGCTGCCATTTCATAAGCTTAAGTCTGGGTTAATTTTTCTTCCTATTTGGTACCCGTATATTGGTGACTCCTAACTTAACTGCTGGCAATACATGATTGTACAAAGACTGTCAGTTTCCTGTTAAGAAAAGCATTCTCTTCCTTTCTGACAGTTGAAGAAGCATCTGTGGGGAATCCCAAAGGGACATTGCTGAGATGTTGCAGGCCTGGAAGTGGAAGACCAGCACAGAGTTGATTATTGATCCAGAGATGGACACTTCAGAGAAATGCAACCTTGATATTCCAGACTCTACAAATGAGCAGCTAGACTTGAATGAGAAATGCGATGTTATCAGTGCACTAAGGTAACCACTGCCTTAATTCTCAGGGAGCAATCTAGAAGACTCAGTGTTGCTATCATTCATTAAGCTGCTCTTTTCAAGTCCACAAGGAGATAGATCCTTGGTTACTTAAAAAGCAAGTCAAGGGATTAATCTATAAATCCTTACAAAAGGAAATTGAGAAAGATCCACTTTCTGGAAAGGAAACATTCAAGAAAAAATGGATGAGGTTAAAAGAGAGATAAAAGCTGCCCTGCTGATGCAGAGTCTGTTAGGGAAAGGACGATTCTTCCTAAGAAAGTTATAAAGTACCCACTCACAGCACATCAGCCTGGCGCCCACCCCAAGCACAAGGCAAAGATTACAAAGAGTGAAAAAAGCCATCAAGGGGCCAAAGGGCCTAAGGAAAAGGCAGCAGCGTGAGACAATCAGGAGGAAAGAGAACGTGTGCCCCCTGGTGGAGGGCACCCTGCAAAGCCAGCTGGGAAGAGCAGGAGCCAGGGAGCAGGAGGAGCTTCATGTGGCCCAGAGGCCCTGGCACCTGGTGGCCAATGCCTTCTACCCAGAGCCCCCACTCACAGAGGAGCACAATGCCAGGGACGCCTCCTCCCTGAAGAGGAGGGCAGGCCATCTGCTGCAGCCCATGCAAAGTCTCTCTCTGAGCCAGAAGAAAGGCTGATTGACACATGAATATTTTAAAAATAGCAAAACGTAGGACAAAAAAGACAGAGGCAGCAGAACCATGCACAGCTTCAAAGTCAATTACCACTTAAGTAATATTGATCTCCCTCCAGTGTTCAAAACCCCCAAAGCCAAACGGAGACTAAAGTTGAGAAGGAAGAACTCCCTCAACACATGGAAGTCAGAATTCCATAAACCCATGGAAAAAGGCTTGCGTTGCTTGGCCTACAGAGATTCCCCTCCCCGAGAGCCTTCTCCCTCTTCTGGAGACCCGAGTTCTCAGGATTTGCCTTCCCTGGAAGCGATGGCTCTTCCAGTATCTCCTACAGAAGACATTCTTGAAGCCAGCCTTGCTGCAGCAAATTTAAACACTTTGATGGATAGAATGGCTGGCCAGAAGAATCTCCCCCTGCCAGCGCAGAGGCCGTGGCACCTGGTGGCCAACTCCTCCTACCTGGAGCCCCCAACTCACAGAGGAACAGGAAGCCAAGCCGCCTCTTCCTTGAAGAAGCACATCACGGATGGGTCACCTTCTGCAGCCCTTGCAAAGTCCCTCCCTG